CTGGGTGCCTTCTGTTGGAGGTTAACCAGGAAGAAACCCCAGGATAGACGGGAAGGGACTACATATCCCGTCAGGCCTGAGAATACCTTTCCATCCCCCAGGAAGAGCTGGAAAGTGTGGCTGGTACCCTACTTGACCGACTACCTCTTCAGCCTAAGCCCAGAGAAGAGGAAGAGAGATGGATAGGAGGACAGATGGATGGATGAAAATTTCTCTGTTTGAGTTTTGATGATTAACTAATGATTGACTGATTATTGGTTCATTGACCCAGGTTACCTGAAGATCCTTGAGATCCCTAAAGAAGCACGTCACCTGCTGATCCAGGAGTTCAAAGGGACTCCTCACATTCTGGGTGAGTGAAGATCATCTTGTCCTTCGTTAATGTCCTCTGCAACTTCTTATTTTCCTTTTTCTGCTACAGCGGTGAAGAACCAGGAGACGGGTCACCTCTTCCTCAATGATGAAGACGAACTCCCAGAATCCCGCGTAGTGATTGAGAAGGGTGTGGCTTGGGAGTACAACAACACAGAGGAGCAGGAGTCCATCCAAACCACAGGGCCACTGAAATACGGGGTCCTGGTTATGGTCAGTCAACAATGAAATCTAAATTCAATGTCTCCATATTGGTCCCATTAGAAACTACACCAGAACAACCACCGCTTCTGTGTTTTTGTGCATCAGGTCCGTTCCTATGGCGACTCCAAGGTGACAGTATCCTATAAGTACATCATTCAGGACCGTCTCCGGTCCTCGTTGGAGTCCAACCTGGTGCAGGAGGACACCATCTTCTACGAGTGGGCGCTGAAGAAATGGTCACACTGCTCCAGACCCTGTGGAGGAGGTACACATTTCTGCTGCTGGGTAACAGCCTGTTCTTCTAGGGTAACATGTGTGTTGTAACAGTGATCTCTGGTTGACAGGGAAACAGTACACAAGGTTCGGCTGCAGAAGAAAGGCAGATGGGAAAATGGTTCACAGGATGCTCTGCTCCAACATCAACAAACCAAGAGCCATCAGCCGTAACTGCAATATGGATAAGTGCAGCTCGCCACGGTAACGTGTTACAGGTCACCATGGTAACACACTGCTGATTTGTGTCTGTTGAACTGCTTATCATAATGTTGACAGGTGTTCTGTTTTTTTTTATTCACTCCATTGAAATCAGTGAGAGCAGTTGAAACAACAGAATTACAAGCACTGTTATTACAGATTAGAAAAACATCAAATGTTTTTGTCGCCTCAGCTGGGTGACTGGGAACTGGGAAGACTGCAGTGCCTCTTGTGGTCAGACTGGGTGGCAGCGACGCTGGGTGAGCTGCCAGCTGGAGCCCAGCAGGGTCCAGCAGCAGAGCTTGGCACACAGCAAACTCTGCCGTGACAACCGGCCAGATGTGAAACGCACCTGCAACCGTTTCCCCTGCCCAGCTGCCTGGCGAACTGGGCCGTGGACACCGGTACAAAGACTTAAAATAGAAATGTGTCTTATGCTACCCTCGCTGCTCTCCTTCTTCCTACACAACCTCGAACCTTCTGTCTGCGATAACTAAAAACACCTTCTCTCAAAAACAACTTTGACTTTCTCTTCTTTCTAGTTTTCCGCCCTTAGTTCAGCAACCTCACTCTTTTCTTCATCAGGATGAAACCACAGATCATGAACTGATCAGTAGTGTCTGATTAGTGTCATTGGGTTTTTAGTGCTCAGTATCTTGTGGAAATGGGACTCAGGAGCGTCAAGTCGCATGTTCGAGTCCCGAGGGTTCAACTGGAAACTGCAGTGGACCTCAACCAATCACAATCCGCAGCTGCCAAGCTCCACCCTGCAGCGGTAAGCATCAACCAATCACATTCTATACATTTGTTTACCGAGGAGGGAAGGAGGATGCATGCTGGGAGTTGTAGTGTCTGTTTTCTGTGCTGATCGTTTGCGTTTGTCTGGCCCTACAGGAAACCAGAAGAACGCCATCATCCAGTGGTTGTCCAGGTCTAATGTAAACTTTCCTGTTCCAAAGATCTCATCCAGTAAAGTACCTGTTTGTTAAATCAGTTAAATTGTTTGAAACTAATGTCTCTTTACATACGTAAAAGCAGAATAAGTGAGCCTTAGGAAAGGGAATCGGACTCCACCTCTTCCTGAAGTCTTTTCAAAGTGAAGGTCAAAGATGAGATCATTCTGTAAAGTAACGATAAGTGTATTCCGTACAACAACATGTTGTTATCACAGTTCTTTATTTCTCCATTTCTGAATTAGGGTTCTAATAGACAGTTTTGACTCTCCAGGGCAGCGTTGTCGTGGTGACCGGTCAGTGTTTTGTCGGATGGAGGTGTTGAGTCGGTATTGCTCCATCGCAGGATACCGGCAGATGTGCTGCAAGTCCTGCAGCGAGGGAAACTTCAGCAGCGAGAACCTGCCGACAGCCAACAGGTCAGTGAGAGTTAGACGAAATGAATCTAATGAAAACAGAAACAAACAAAAATAACAAATGCCATCTTTGAACAAATGAACTCAACGCAGTTTTTTTTCTTTTCTTTTTATTTGCATCTTACAATTTACGCTTTCTTGCACTTTTTTGATTTTGTTTTATGAACAAAGTCAATGATCCAAGCAGGGAACAGACCAACAAAAGCAAAAAGGAAGGAGGGGGTGTTCTGTGTGACAAAATGTAGCTGTGTGGTTGAACTAAAATCTTTATGGACTGATAAACTTCATTCATCCTTTCCAATGTTTATTAAATAAGTCTTTCTTAGCGCTGGTTTAAATTGCCCCTCAGATAGCTTTTCTGCTCATCTTCTTAAGGAAGTCTTTGACACTGTTAGCCCATGTATTCTGTCACTGATAAGCCCTTGTATTCTATCTGGTTGTGTCCTAGCTGCCTTTAACCATGCTGTTGTACAGCTCTTGCAAAAGAAAGGAGATAATCTTGATCCCTCTGTTCTCTCTAACTTCAGGCCCATTTCTAAACTGCCCTTCTTGTCCAAAGTCCTAGAGAAGGTAGTTCTCAACCAGCTGCAAACATTTCTAATCAAGAATAATGTGTATGAAAAGTTCCAGTCTGGTTTTAAACCCCGCCATAGCACTGAAACAGCCCTTTAAAGAGTTTTTAACAATTTGATGAAGTGTTGATTCAGGAGACTTTGCTGTCCTGGTGCACTTAGGCTGCTTTCGACACCATCAATGACACAATCCTGTTGTCATGTTTGGAAAACTCTGTAGGGACTAGAGGTGCAGCACAGATGGTTTCAGTCATGCTTAACAGATTGATTATTCCTCTTTCACGGCCCAACTTACATGAGGTGACCCTCAAGGATCCATTCTCGGCCCCACCCTATTTTCCTTATATATGTTGCCCCTAGCATCAATTTTTGAAACATACGATGTCTCTTTCCACTGCTTTGTTATATTCAAACATCCTTGCCCCTGAAACTTAAGACTAAACATTCCCTACAGCTTCCTGTTTGCCACAGGATTGATTTAAAAATGTTATTGTTAACTTTTACATTTCTAAATGGACTGGCACCGCCTTGTTTAGCTGAACTTCTCTACACTCACACTCCAGTTAGAGAGCTGAGATCAGCCACTCACCTCCTCCTGGACCTAAAAGAAGACTCATAACCGGAGATCGCGCCTTCGCAGTAGCCGCCCCAAACTTGTGGAACAACACATTAGATCTGCCCCCTCTTTAGCACACTAATTAATCATTACTAAAAATATGTCTGTTCTTCTTGGCCTTCTCCTTGAGTTGAGAATGTTTTTTATCCCAGCTGATTTTATTTTACTATTGTATATCTTATATTTTATTTTTATAGTTATTATTCTACTTTCTATCTTTATTTTACTACTTGTACTCTGATGTTTGCTCAGTCCATAGAGACTTGGCTTGGGAACCAGAGGGTGGCCAGTTCAAGTCCAGCATGGATTGAAGTATGAAAGGTGGACTTGTAGTTGGAGAGGTGCCAGTTCACCTCCTGGGCACTGCCGAGGTGCCCTTGAGCAAGGCACAGAACCCCCCCAATAGCTCCCTGGGCTCCTCCATGGCTGCTCACTGTTCCCTGTGTGCTGTGTTGGGTTAAATGCAGAGGTCAAATTTCCCCATGTTGCATGTAGTGCTGTGTGTGCATGATTGTGGGACAATAAAGAGGAATCTTAATCTTAAATGTGCTATATAAATAAAATTTAATGAGAAATCTATGGTATTTTTTTGACCTAGCTCATGGGTAACGACCACAGAGATGATAACCTCAGCATCCTCCTCCACCTGGTCTGACAGCAGTGACATCACCAGTAATATCATCAGCACGCCACCTCACAGCTTCACTATGACTCTCCCTCCTACCAGCAGGAGCAGCACTGACTTTGTTTACGTGGAGTATGATGATTATGACGAGTATTCTTCCTACGAGGATCTTTTAGTTCCCTCAGACTCTCTGGATATTGTACCAACTACTACTACTACTACTACTGCTACTACTACAAAAATGTGGCCACAGAAAACCTCTCCAACACATGTATTCAAGAAGAAAACCACCACTACGAGAGCGCCTCCTGCTACAGTTCCCATGGTAACGGTTTATAGCCCACTGTCACTGCCAATCCAGACGTTTGACGTCCCAGAGTTTCCCACCACAAACTCATTTGATCCTGATGACATCATCACTGCAACATCATCAGGTGGGCAGAGCCTTCAAACTAAATTCCATCTGACAGAAACCGGACCAGCACCGACGTCTTCCTCTTCAATCTTTACAAACATAAAGAAGGAGAAAAACTTGGTGGATGATGTCCCGTACCGGATCGTGGGATTGGACGGAGACACCACCAGAGGGCAGCAGAACTACTTTGTCCCGCGGATGCCACCATTCCGTGAGCGAACACAGAACAAACGTATCCAGGAGCTTCTGAATGCGAAACGACGACAAGATCTTGTGAGGAGAGTGAACAGGAGCAGAGAGAGTCAGACTGACGGTAAAATGAGTGGATCATAAAAACACTAAAATAAGTTTTGATGTTCACGATCTCGCATGTACAGCTTCTCACTTTTTGCTAACGCTAACAAACTCTAACGAGAAACTGAATCAGACTGCAGAGCAAGGTTCTCTCAACGTTCTCATCAGATTTCCTGAGGTCTACACCTGTTTTCTTCTCTGCTCCAATCAGAGTTGTTGTGGATGCTTGGAGGTCACGTGGAAACATGTGGAAAGACACTGGTTTTCACTGGCATGATATTTGTACCAAATAATGTGTTTCTAAATAAAGTTTCATCCAGCTGATGACGTGGCTACGACTCATAAACCTCTGTTAACTCCTTAAGACAAAACTCACTGTAAGAGATCTGTCCATCTTCTGTTTTATGATTTTGTCTTCTGTACATAGTCCATGTACGTTCAAGTCTTTTTATTTCCACCAAAAACAAGACCTTTCTTTTTCGTCTGAGAGTAACTCTTACTATAGACTTATCACAGAGGGAAAATTTAAACCCTAAATGTAGAGTGGATGTCCGTCTTCTGTACCAGTTGGAGGAGCCTGGTAGTTGAAGGCTCTACCTCCTGTTCTACTCTTACAGACTCTAGAACCACAGGAGAACCTGTGTTTTGGTAGTGAACTGATCTATCTGGATGATACAGTGTTATCAGCTCTTTGACATATGAAGGGTTTGATTGTTAAGGTTTTAAATGTGAGGAGCAGGATCTTGATATTCTGGATTTTACAGGGAGCCAATGTAGAGAAGCTAAGACAGGAGTAATAAGATCTCTCCTTCTACTTCCTGTCAGCACTCTGCTGCAGCA